ACAATATATGTTTTTGGGTGTCTATATATATTTATATAAATATCTGAATATGTATATATATTCTTGGTATTTACATATCTGATTGTATATATTTGTAGCTGTGTGTGTGTGTATACAAACAAGTTCATAGTGAACCGAGCCCGAGCTTGGCTGAATGATGATGAGTCGAGCTTGAACTTGGCCTAGCCAAAGCTCATCCGAACAAGCTGAGTTTGGTGAGCCGAGCCCGAGCTTGGCTGAATGACGATGAGTATAGCTTGAACTTGGCCTAGCCAAAGCTCATCCGAACAAGCCTCTGAGTTTGGTGAGCCAAGCCCGAACAACCCGAAGCTCAGCTCGGCCCTGCTCATTTAAGCCCTAAGTTTGTATCAAGAGTTGTCTACTGTTATCTTATGATACACAACACAAAAAAAATAAGGGATAATTTTACTGACACCCCCACTAGTTTGGCCAAATATCAGTCTAAAATATCTTTCGAAAATAACTGTCACTCACATTACAAACGTTTGCTCCGTTTTTCACTCACACCCCAAAAGTTAGTTGACAGGTGTGTCAGACCACTTTTTATATGTAAAAAGACATTCTTACCCTTTGACTTTGGTTTGACCCAATAAATTATTTTTTTAATGATTAAAATTACATGTTTACCCTCATTTGACTTTAGGTTGACTATTCAAATGACATGTTTACCCTTCCTTTTCCATATACAAGAATAAATAAAGTAGGTGATCAACATCATACAGTTTGGTATTGAGGGCTATTATACGCCATACAAGTGTTCGGTTTTATATTTTTTTTATGGAAATTAATGAAATTTTAAGTAAGAAAATTTTATTTTTTTAAGAAAATTAATTAAATTTAAAAAGAGGAAGAGAAAAATAAGAAAATTTTTAAAAACTAAAATATAAAATAAAATAAGAAAAAGCAACCATTCATATATTTTTTTAAGGAAATTAATGAAATTTTAAATAAGAAAATTTTATTTTTGTAAGGAAATTAATGAAATTTAAAAAGAGAATGAGAAAAATAAGAAAAAATTCTAAAAATTAAAATAAGAAAAATCATCCATTCATATATATATTTTTAAGGAAATTAATGAAATTTTAAGGGTTATCGTACGTTTTAAGAAATTGAATGTGTTTATATAGAGGGAAACAGAAAATGGAAGTTGTTGCAGGAAATTTCCAGTTCCTTTATTGCTCAGAGTACCGAATACTGGTTCTTTGTCAAAAAACACACTTCGTTACTCTTAGAAGAAAATAAAAATTATTCCAATTTTTTGTCAGAAGTAATGGTGGCAACTGGAAAACCAAATATTCCATGTACTCTATTTCATACTAACAATATGTATTACTAAAACGGTACTCGCATACCTGTAAAACAATATATTTTGATACTTAATACCACCAACTACATTCATATTCTTAATTTCATTTTCTGTCCAAACATTATTTCGCAGACAAAATTTCGGCGAACTCCACTCTTGATCTGTCATTCAACAATTTCACTGGAGAGATTCTGGAATCACCTGTTTTCTTCAACCACGAAACGAAATCATTTTTCGGAAATCCGAAATTGTGCGGTAGACCACTAAGGAAATTATGCCCAATTCCTTCCACCAACTCTTCTCTGCACCAACCACTTCTCCGCCGGAAATTGCAGCGATCCCGAAGACCATAGATTCAACTCCGGCCCTCTCCTCCAGAAACCTTACTGGTATTCTCTCATGGTGGTTCCTCAGAAACATGTCTCACCTTCAAACCATCGACCTCTCCAACAATTCTCTCAAAGGCTCTATTCCAGGTTGGTTCTGGTCCAGCCCATCTCTCACCAAAGTCAATCTCTCCAAGAATCAATTCGGAGGGACCATTGGGTTCGAACCCACTTCAGATATAGCTTCATTTTCATTGATTCAAGTCCTCAATCTTTCTACAAACAGGTTCACTAACTTGGCTCATCTCTCTGGTTTTCGAAGCCTCTCTGTTCTTGACCTCTCCCACAACAATCTTAAAATATTACCTCTGGTTTTCCCAACATAACCAAACTTCAATAACTCATCTGCCATGAATGATTCCACAGCTTCAGGTGAAGCGAGCGTCTTTTCTTCTGGCAATCAAATAGTACCAGCAAAATCAAACATCAAAGAAGAAGCGAATTTTGGTTGCCGGCGGCTTGGACAGCAGGTACTTCGCCCACTGATGAGTGAAGGGGAAGAAGGGGAAATTTGGGTCTGCGACTTGTAGCCATATAGAGATAAAGGAGAGAGAAACAATGTGTGGAGGGGTACAGAAGTCATTTCCATTATCTAATATTTTGGAATAAGTATGATTAAAAAATTAGGGACAAATATGTCTTTTCTCATGTTTTTAACGGAGGCTGTAACGGAAAAGCGAAAATGGACCTAAGTGATATTTATTTTCGAAAGATGTTTTAGACTGATATTTGGCCAAACTAGTGGGGGTGTCAGTGAAATTATCCCAAAAAATAAAGAAATTAGTATAATGATTAGTGCGTAACACTAGATATGCCTGCACAATTTTGACCGCTATGGTTGGGAGTTCTATGCTGCAAACATGAGTTGATATAGTGTTCACTTGATGCAGTTCTGAATTCCAACTTATCGTATTAAGTCTAAAGCTAGTTACATGTCGCTTTTTAAAGAAGTGAGACCCTTCCTAGATTCCACCTGGTAGCCTGAATGTTTCGTTAGTACATCAATGCAACCAACTGAAATTACGATGATACATCGTGGGTCTAGCTAACCATCACATACGTTACAAGCGTATTTTCTCTTTTTTCCCACTGAACATTTCGTAATTTCATTGTTATTTTTTTTTGAAGAAACTGCTAACCGGACCATAGTTTTCGTTCAACTTAATTGTTTGCTATAAGTTGTCCAGAATGATTTCTGGATGAGTAGGTATAGTGACCAGATCCTTGCTTCTTTGGTTTTAATTGTTCATCTCATTAATATATTCAATGTCAAATTGATCAATGTACTTGGCACGGCCTGATTGGACTTGTGAGTAGTATGATTTACTCGGGTCTAAGATATTTCTTTGGGGGTTTCTGGAATTTTGGTGATTTTCTTTTCTTTTCGTTCTCTGTCTCTCTCTCTCTCATTCTGAAACTTGAATTGCACTCTTATGCAGAGACTCTTTGCTTTGCTTCTGGTAAGCCTGCAAAGAAGTGGACCTACTGGGGGAGGAGCTACTGAAATGAGATGCTTATTGTTTTGTCTATTGACTGGATTGAAAGTCCTTCCAGTGATTGGGAAAGAATCTTATTCTTGTAATCTTTTCACACTGGTCCAGATTTTGTTAGTTTATATATATCACATTATTTTCACTTAATAGCATGGTTCGCAGTATTGGTTGCGCTGAAATAGTATCGGCCGTGAAAAAGTGTCGCGTATGGTCTGATATGGCGAACTGCTTAATACATATGTTATCTAAGTATTTCAGATTTGGTCAGATCTTAAGTAATGAGTGATGAAACTGTTACTGTGAAGTGTCTTCTCAATGCTTAATTTATTCAAGAGTGGATTCAATTTGATCAGAGTATATCAATCAGTATAATTGTGTTAAAAAAACAATAATAATTATAATAATAAATATTTAAAAAATAATTAAAATACAAAAACTAACGCATAACTTTATTATTTCTATCTATTGTAGGATTATTCTCCAATCCGTGTGTCCTTAAACTCTTTAACTTGTACTCAAAATTTTGAGCTCCAGTTGAGTTTTGAGTTAGAAAAATTATATTGAAAATTATTTTTTACTTTAAAAATGATACTATTATTCTTAAATTATAACAATGGATTTTTTTCCATTAACTAAATAAAAAAAATCATCACACATATTTTTTCCTTTTTATTTTTGGTGAACAAAGTGGGTCCAAGTGGAATTACCTGGCATGATTGGGCTTAGAATGCTCATATTCTGTAATTGTCTGACTTTGAAAATTGTTGCCATTACCTGACGGTAAAATGGACTTCTTTGGAGTTTTTTTGAAGGCTAGCGTAAGGGTTAATTTAATTGTGATGAAAAACTCGTTAAACAATTACAGCTCTTTCAAATATTATCTTTAATAGTTATGACAATTTCTATTCTCTTGAAATATATATATATATAATTGTTATGACAATCAAGCAAGAGAGAACGGGAATAGAAATTGAAGAGTTCTAAATTATACACAAAGGAGGGCAAATATGAAATAAAATATATATATAGGAATCAAATATTCTATTGTACATGGACTTTTTTGTAATTTCAATTTAAGAGAAAAGAAAACGGATTTTTCTTATAGAGCTCCAATATCAGCGGTCATTTTAATATCATTATTATTAGGGTAAAGTGTAAAAAAAAAAAAAAAAAAAAAAAAAAAAAAAAAAAAAAAAAATCAGAAAAGAAAAAGAAATACTTGTACAAATATCTGACATTTTATTAATTTGAAGACTGAAAAACTTAAATGCCTTTAAGACAAAATAAGAATAAACACCGACTTTAGCTGTTAAGGATATTTTAAGGGTATATTGAGGGTTTTTTTTTTTTTTTTTTTTTTTTAAAGTAGGTCAAATTTACCGATAGCACATATTTTTAAATGTTAGGAATTTATATGCACCTACTAATAGCAGGGATATTTTTTGCACATTTTTTATGTAGTAAGATTATTATTATTATTATTTTCACTTTATCCTTACTATTAGTACCTTACAAGAAACTTTGAAATCTGAGGATGAACTTCATTTTCATTGTTAATGTGGACAAATAATAAATAAATAATATGGGCACATCCTCTTTAATTACCAAATCAGAAATGATGGGTACAAACTTATTATTTGACCTTTTTATTTTCTAATTAAAGAGGATATTCCCAATTATAAAAATTATATATTAATTAAAGTTTTAATATTATCTTACTTAATACATATATTAATGAAAATTTATATTTATATTAGCCGTGTCCAGAAAGCCCAATGGGCCAGATCTCATCAGTTCTACAGGCCTCGGTCTTTTTCCGAACACCAAATGAGATCACCGAGCAAACTGACCAGTACTGTTATCACACTGAAACCAAAGATTTCGATAGTTCTTGCATTCACCAAAAAGTGTGTGTAGGCATCGAAATCGAATCTGAAACCAAATTTGTGAGTCGATTCAATTCTTCCTAGAGACAGAGAGAGATCTGTTAGAGAGAGAAAACAAGAAGAATTCTCAAAGGAATAGCAGCAATGGAGGTGGAGCTTAAAGAGATGCTGACTGATCTCGAAACTCTCAAACAATCGTTACCAGACCCCTCTATTCACTCTTCGATCGATAAGGCACACACTCTCTCTCTTATATATATATATGTGTGTGTGTGTGTGTGTATATATTTGTTTTGGTATGATTAGCTGCTTCTATTGTATGATCTGTTGCTTGTATGAAATATATTTTGATCTAACCATACGTATTGAGATTTCTTATGAAATTTTTGGTGGTTTTTTTTTTTTAATCACTCGATTTGGTACGTTTTTGTTAATTTACAAAACTTTGTCGCTTATATTGTGTTGTATATATATAGGTTGTGTGTATATAGTGGGAGTACCATGATCGCAAAGTTTGGTAAAGGTTGCCAATATATGCCTATTTAATTCTTAAAACATCTGTCTTTTCAAGCAATTTTTGGTCTTTGATGTCTGGGCTTAATCAATTAATGAAGAGTTGCTGAAGTTGTATTTTGTCTTTCCTGGGTTTTTTGCTGCAATTTATTTTGCTGAGAATGTGCGCTGAACATACCCTTTCATCCCTTATCCATCAACTGAAAAACGAAGAAGGAACTCTTCTGATTGAGCCTTGTACACTTATCTGGCTTTGTTGAGCTGAATTTTTCAGTTTAAAACAACAGAAACAACAGAAAACAAAAGTGCCGATTTTCTTCTCAGAAACTGAAGTTTTAAAGAAATTGTAACCATGTTTTAGTGATGGTTTTAAGAATGGAGAAAGAGAACACTGTTCTTGACACACTTCCAATATGTAACTTTTCTTGTGTTTTTCATTTTTTTTTTTTTTTGGTTTTGCAGATGTGTTTGCGTGTAGAACATCTTACCAATCTTGCAAAGTCTGCACCTGGTCGGCGTTCAAAAGTCAAGGTCCTTGTGTTTCCATGTTTTCTCTCTTAATTCTTTATTTTGGTTATTAATTGTGATTATACTACTGATGCATGTGTAATTGTTTTGGTGGCAGGATATGAGTGCTGAGGTGATAGATAGCAATCCTTACAGTAGGCTTATGGCACTTCAGAGGATGGGTATTGTGGAGAATTATGAACGAATACGGGAATTTTCAGTAGCCATAGTTGTCTGTATTTATCTCCTCTTGATATAACTGTTGTTTTTTTTGGAAATATCGTGTTAATACATGCATGTCACTAATGATTATCTTAGAAATATTTTAGATATAAAAAGAATTTGTGTAAGAATAGCAATATTCGTTTGAAAAACTTCTGGAGTTCAGATGTGAAGTCTTCTTTATTCTTCTGTACTAAATGAGTGAGGAAAACCATCTACTTGTATTCTTCATGGACATCACAAGTAGAAGAAGTGCTGTGACAAGGGTGTTCAGTTGTATACAAGCACATTATAATGTATATCAAATTTGTCTTGATTACTAGTTCCATGTCTAAAATGCATTGTGATTCTTCAAATCCCTTGTTGGGGACTAAGAATATAATGCCTGTAAGATCATAAAGTATTTCATTTATTATTGTGACAAGATATGTTTCACTATGAAGTTGGGTCAGAATAACTAGCAACAACGATCTGCCATGTATGGTGCCTTTGAGCTGTACATGGATTCTGTGATTTTTTTTTTTTTTTTTTTTTCCCCACTTGTAATTCTTTTGTAGGTGAATGATTTATATATTTGCAGTGCATGCAATGGGTTCTAATCTATAGGTTCTGCCATAACAACCAGTGATCAATGAGGTATAATGTTCTTCTATTGGTTATTCTACAGGGGATAGGCGGAGTAGGCAGTGTTGCAGCGGAGATGCTAACTAGGTGCGGCATAGGTCGCCTTTTATTGTACGACTATGATAAAGTAGAGTTGGCTAACATGAATAGGCTATTCTTTCGTCCAGAGCAGGTGTTCCTTGTTTTCATTCTTTCTTTTCATTTTTCGTTCTTGGATATGATATACTTTGTAGGTTTAATGCACTGCTTTTTAGATTTTATCTCACCAAAAACCCTTTTCTTTTCTTGGTTGCCATGGTGATTTAGCTTTAGTCACACAAACTTATTATTCAGATTTTGGACTTCTAGATGTGTAATAATGAAAGCAGTGTCATAATCTTCAATCTTTTTAAGAAATAGTATTACCAAGTCCTGTTAATTTAAGCATTGTGATTTTTCTATTTTCAGGTTGGTATGACAAAAACTGATGCTGCTGTTCAGACTCTTTCTGACATAAATCCAGATGTAGTTCTTGAGGCAAGTGTTTCATGGGAATTTTGTTTCTTGTGGCTTGACAGGTTATGCTTAATTATCACTTATCTTGAACCCTTGCTCTCTTTCTTGATTGATTTGAAAATGAAAATGTTTAGTTAGTCCTAGCATGGTCATTATGAAGATGGAGAATTTGATATTTTTTTTATCGCAGTATCTAAGATGACAGATCCATCTGGTTAATTTACGTTTTTAGCAAAACTAAGCAACATGGTGAAGCATGACTAGGTCAAGCGCAAGTTAAAGTGTCTAGTCATGGAACTTATCCAAAAAAAAAAGTGTAGTCATGGTGCACATAAGAGGGTAATTTTTTAATTTAAATTATGGTAACTGAACATGAACTTATATTGGTTATCTCCTCAACGAATTCGGATCAACATAGATTGGCCAACAAAATTCCATTGCGGAGGGTAACGCCTCTGTGTTTGGTTGTGCTTATGGACTGAAAGGAATATGAGATCCTTTGATGGCAAGAAGGCCCCTTATTGGAGCGCTCAAGTTCTCTATTATTTGCTCTCTTTTTTGTTGGGTTTTGGGGAGAAATTGTAAATCCATGGGGGAGATGTTTGATTTTTTGGACTCTTTGAGAGTTTAGTGGCTTATTTGGCCTTGTGTAGTTCTATGGGATGCGTTCCCCTTTTGAACGCTTTCTAATACAATCTTATCAACAAAAAAAAAGGGTTGCTGCTGCTGCTATATGCATATCCAATTCAGTGCAACAGGAACAAGAACATTGAGTTGTTTTGTTTAGGAGAAGATCAAATCAAATTTACATTCTCTTCACACAATTGCAACATGACTTGATGGTCAATAATTCTCCTCATGGTTTCTTAGACAAGCTGGACTTAGAATAGAATATGCACCAAGTGGAGGGAGTTTGTTAAGAGTAAGCATGTGAAGAATTTCTTGCAAAATTTAGGGGTCGTTTGGTGGCGTTTATGTTACGTATTTAATTTTTGGTAGTTATGTTTACTAGTGTTCATGTTTAATTATCAGTTTTCTGAAAATAGGAACAGCTTTAGCCATTAGGTATCCATTTATTTTTTTCATAAACAGAAAAGAAAAAACATGTTTAGTAACGTACATCTGATTGGGGCATAGGATAATGAATGAAAGTATACTAAAAACCAAACCCACCAGATTTGGGTCCAAATTGCTAATTATGCATTTTAGAACTAGCCATTACTTGGAAAATTTGCAACCTTGGCACCAAAAGTAATTAAAGCACAGGATTATGGAACCCTAAAATGTATCTCTAGGAACACCCAAGCACTGCATAGCATAGTTAAGTCATGTGATTGAGTGGTAGCATCTTGATCAGCTCTAGTAACAAAGTAACATTGAGTAAAAAAGTATGCACCACATTATTAAAATCAAATTTAGGGCATAGATCCAAAGTTCAAATTCAAATCATAAAAACTAGGACCCAAAATCTAGAGCAGTATGTTACGAAAAACACTGCTACAAAGATCGTGTGGGCATCCATATCTATACAAATCAAAACCAAACTTAAGCATAACACGTAAAACCAAACCATAGATTCTTGGCATAAGGTGGTTTTATCAATTGGCATCTGTCTGATCGACTGTTAGCTAGCTTTTGGCTTTCTGACTAGCATTTTTTTAAAAAAAAAAAAAATCTGAATCTACTAGTATGACCTGTATGTGTGAGGTCATCACAATTGATTGATGTCATATGAATTAGGACCTCTATGCTATGTTACATGGACTTGGGTACGAATAGGCGGTGTTGGAGTGTGTTTAAGTGTTGGACATCCGTGAATCACAAAATTTAGGATACGATCACTTGGCTTGAAATGTGTCCAAAACTTGGATACATGTATGTGGACATTTGTTGCACATTTAAGTACAGAATGTGCTATATAATAGCATACTACATAATTCTGTACATGCTTTAACAAAAATACTTAATTATGATTTGAATTTAATGAAATATGGAGAAAAGAAGTGAAGACTCCATCTATCTGAAAAAGTAAGAAACCCTTTTTATGCTATCAAATATGAACTTTTCTTTCTTCCATCATTACATGTAGAGGATCCAGGCATCCGTATTGGAAAAGTTTGGCAGACGTATCTTATAGCCTTAGCTGTGTCATGTCATGTGATGCGGGTTTATTGATAGAAATAGGAGAGTCCATGTAAGACAGCCTATGTGTGAGGAAGATTCAGAAATTAATGGCAGTGGTCAATATGGTTATCTGGTATCTGACACTTTGACCTCTAATAAAGCTGAAATGCAGTACAAATATAGCACAGCCTTAACTGTGATGTATGGGAAGGGCAAAATTTGAAGTTTTGTTGTCATGTAGCTTTTAAGTTCTGAACGCTCATGTCAGCAGTATTTATGTAGTGCCTGGCTATCTTTTCATTTTTACTACTTTTTATAAAGATCATACGATGAATTATATATTGTCTACTCTAAAAAATATGGAGGTATTTTTGTAGCTATATTTTAACTCATATTGGGTCGATAAATTTTAATTTAATTCTACTGATCATGTTCTGTTAGTATTTCTAACGGATCTATTCATTTTGTGCTCAGAGCTATACACTGAACATCACAACGGTGCAAGGTTTTGACACTTTTGTTTCAAGCCTTAAAAACAAAACATTCCGCACTGGTAAAGAAGGTAGTGGAGTGGATCTTGTTTTGAGCTGCGTAGATAATTATGAAGCAAGAATGGTTGTAAATCAGGTATGATGACTGCTTAATAGACCCGCGACCCATGCTTTTTTTTAGTGGGTTTAATTTGATAATCTATGAAATTTTTGTTTAATTTATTGTATTTGCAAGTTATCTAATATTGCTGTCTTAATAGTCCTATTGTTTGTTTGAAAACTCAATTATATATTTTGTAACTAATTTAATTGTGGTTTACAGGCTTGCAATGAATTGAAGCAAACATGGATGGAGTCTGGTAAAGTGATATTAACCCCTTGTTATTATTTTATGAGTCTGTAAGAAAACATGTTGACCTTGTGCGAAATTCAATTACTATATGGTGGCATGAATTGGGTCTGTCTGTCAGATACATCGAAATAAATTAATTTTTCAGACACATTCTCCCAGTGTAGTTCTTGTGTTCTGACAAATGTGCAATGCTTGGGTGCATGTGTGACCAAACATGTCAAACATGGAAAGAAGGTAGTGGAGTGGATCTTGTTTTGAGCTGCGTAGATAATTATGAAGCAAGAATGGTTGTAAATCAGGTATGATGACTGCTTAATAGACCGGCGACCCATGTATCCCATGCACTTACTAAAGTAACTTGAAGAGTCGATGTAACTTAGTCGCAGTTGCATAGATAATCCCTCCTACATCAATGGTCTCGTGAGTCATTTGTGAGCTCTATAATGGGCTCTATCCACAACAGGCACTTTTTGCTTAGACTTGTGTGCTATACTTGAATGCATTTGCACCTTAAACCATCTATTTTCAAATGTGGGAATTAGAAGCAGAATGGTGGTTAAGTTTTTTGGCCTTTTTACTTGGTGAGCTTTGTAATGGGTCCTTCTTGGCCATGAACAAATAGCACCCTCCTTCAGCAGAAATGCAATTGAAAACTTTCTCCATACTAGAATATATTTCTTCAGGTGTGGGAAGTTGAAGCACAATGGTTAAGTTTTTAGGCCTTTTATCTTTTTCTTCTTGATTGTAGCTTATATATGACGTATTCTTGAGATTATTCACATGGGAAAAAAGAACTCGACTTTTTCACCTTTAATTTTTTATTTTGGGGGGACTTCACATAAGAGGAACTTTCTGGCAGGTGTGTCTGAGGATGCTGTTTCGGGTCATATACAGTTGCTGATTCCTGGAGAAACAGCCTGTTTTGCATGTGCACCTCCTTTGGTAAGTTCATTCATTTCCTCAAATATGGATGATATTGTAGGAGTTCTAATCTGAAATATTGGGGATAGAGTAGTTTCAATTATTATGATGTGAACTTTTCTTTTTTGCTGGGGAAAGGCAAGGAAAGGGAGTGAAGGCAAACTGGCTTTCCTCATTGGATCAAGACATGAACCCAGGCCTGGAACTAGGAAATTTTAAGCGTTGCCACTCAGTCACACTCAGTGGTGGTTTCTATGATGTGAATTAAGACATTATGATTGTGTTTAATTTGTCTTTGTAGTAGAAATTGAATGATATCACTTCTCTAAATTGTTGTAGTTCATTGTTACATCTTATAGTGTATGGGTGAGTTAAAGTTCAGAAAATAAAGATTGGATTTGATTTTTCCTCTTTTCCCTCTTAGGTTGTAGCATCTGGAGTGGATGAACGTACTCTTAAGCGTGAAGGGGTCTGTGCTGCATCTTTACCCACTACTATGGTAAGAATTTTATGCTGCCATCTTTCGAACTCTTCTGGCAGCTCTCTGAATCTCTTTATAAGGTTTTACTCTTTTACACGGCAAGGATTCATGTTCCTCAATACCATGTTCTCATGAATAATAGAGTACAGAGTTTCTAAAATACTTGTGAGTTCATTGTTGTTGTTATCTAGAAGTTTCTTCCTTTTCCCTCTGTAAAATGAGCAAGTGGATCTATCATGATAGTGAATAGGACTTCTAAGTGTTGATTGACTTGTCAATAGCCTGTCTGTGTTAATCCCTTTAACCATGCCGCTAAATTTTACATCTTGATGATTTTAATTGGTTTTGTAGGGGGTTGTTGCTGGACTTTTAGTTCAAAACACACTTAAATACTTGTTAAAGTTTGGACATGTTTCCCCATACTTGGTAAATCCTGAGCCAACTCTCTCTCTCTCTCTCTCTCTCACACACACACACACACACACACACACAAATTGTGACATCATTTGGAACATAAAGTTACTCATATTTATGAAAAACAATACTTGATTTGTCAAATTCTGTTATCAAGCCTAACAAAAACTTGAAATATTGCATGCTGATCATCCTGAATTGAGCTTTTGACAAGTTTTGGCTTTATTGCTTGATTTTAGGGATACAATGCTCTCAAAGACTATTTCCCAACTATGGAAATGAAGCCAAACCCTCAATGTTCAAATGTAGCTTGCCTGGAACGACAGGTGACATGACATGAGCTTAGTTTACTAAACAGTTGATCTTATGACATATGCCTGTTGCTGATTCTTTGGTTTCTCTCTCATGATTAAACCAACGTTTATTCTGTAGAAAGAATATGCTCTTGAGAAGCCGGCTAGGGATGCTGCAGCTAAATTAAAGCTTCAGGAAGAAGCACTATCAGCACCAGAGTGCCCACTTCATGTGGATAATGAATGGAACATAAGGTAACTTTCTGGGACCGACTTTTTTAACTGGTTTCTGATCCAAGTCTTGTAACTGTGAGATCTGTTTGGGAGTATGGGCTGCTTTCTAGATATGAATCTGTTAAGAGAGCTCCATCTTATGGCGTTTATTTTGGTCTCCTATGGATTAAAGCTTTTCAGAACTTACAATGATAAAGCTACTGATTTTTTGGCCACATGATTCAGTATTTTTGTTTCCTCAAAGCATAAGCTGGGCAAGTGTATTACACTCTTTTTGGTTGTGTTTTCAGTGTTGTCGATGACGATGAGCCAGATAAGGCAGATGCTAAAAATAGAGGTGATCTTTCTCATTTTTATGCTTTTACGCATTTTTACCTTTCCAGTGGAGAAATGATGCAAATTACAAAAAAAATCAAGAAACGTTAAATTTAAATAATAAATAGTCAGAAATTTGCTCCGTATCAAGCCGAGAGGCCAGACACACACTAAGGACCCCTTGGAATAAAGTTCTAATACCTGCCAAGTCTTGCTTTCTTTTTCTTTTTTTCTTTTTTCGTTTTATTTTTAAATCAAGGGTGTTGTGATAATTCTTGAATATGCCCACAGTATAACTGTGAGTTTATTATATTCTTGAATGAATCATTTCATTTGGACCTAAAAGTAAATTTAGTATCTAAGTGAAAAGCCAGGAAACATTTATGCATGACTAAACTATTTAAATCTTTTCGAAAATTGATCAAGTGAAAGAATCACAATGAGTATGTTATTACCATTTGTCTGAAAATTTGCTTTAAACTCTTTAAAACATCCAAAGCTTGGACACTCCTATTTAAGCGAAATCGACCCTTGAAAGTTGTTTGATAATTTTGATTTATTATTTTCATTTTGTTTCTTGTCCTCCCATCTTCTCCGAAACCAACTGAAGCATTAACGGTCCACTATGTCATTACCTTTTTCCCTTTTTGTTGCCTCTTTCAGATGCTGCACTTCCTGAAGGCCTTACTCGTGAGCTCCCAAGCGCGGACGAGTTTCAGAAACCGCCTGCTTCTCAAGACACTGCCAACTCCATCGATGACCTTGAAGATCTCCGGAAACAACTCGATGCCCTAAATGCTGACTAAAATTAATAAATTATAAGATTCCCATGTTAGAAATTTTTGCCCTAATTATATATCAAGCAAATCACAAGGATTTGAAGCTGTGTTGTTGTCATTTGGAATTTTCTTTCTTTTATTTTTTATTTTTAAAACCTTGAACTATAAAATCATTTTACAGATACTCTTCATTGTTGTTATTAACATCTTTTGTATCTGCAGTAGCAATTGTATACTCATTTGCAGTTTTGAGATTGAGTTTCGATTTAAGGTTTTTTAAAGGTTTGTGAACCCTTATGTTACATGGACTCTTCAATGGTAGTGAAGTACCCGTATTCGGACACCTATTGCTTAGATATGGGTATGAGATACGTGTCACTTTTGGTTGAACATGTACTTAAAAAGCATATCTAATCATTTAATTATATTATATTATTATTTTAAAAAAAGTTAAATGCTTATATTAAATATTTATTAGATAAAAATATTACTTTATTTTAATTAATAAAATGAATATTTTGTCTTGTCTTTCCTCTGTTCGGAAATTATTTGACACATCCTACCCATATAATGCAAATTGGGCTTTGATTGATTAGCAATCAAAGAAGTCCAACAAATTGGCCCTTTATTCCCCAACCCTCATTTACCTTCCCAATTCTTTCTTCTTCTTCTCTTTTTTTTGAAAAAAAAGAAAATTTTCTAAATAATAAATTATTATTATTATTATTATTATTTTTTATTCTTTTCTCTTTTGAACTCTTTATTAAATAATAATTTAAATTATTTTAATCCTATTATCTTCTTTCTTCAGAGTTACACGATCCTTTTGAAGAGAGTTACACGATCCTTTTGAAGAGGTACAGTTTTCACACTGCACGAATTGGCATTTAGATCGTGAATTCAATTTTTTTAATCATTGAATTCAATTTGCAAATCCTTAATTCACAACAATTCATTTATTGAATCTTGTATTGTGACATATATTATGGATGGCAATTATCAAAATATATCTAAAAACATGTATAAAAATTTGAAGAACTACGAACAAATTGACAAAAATAACAAATCCTTACACATCGATGACTGATCACAGACACAAAAATATTTAAAAACAGATTATAGATTTCTAAGGTCCATTTTATTAAAATAAAAATTACACTATAGTTTTGTATTTTAACTTTTACTTAAAAAGAAAAAAAGGGCAAATTACAATGACCTCCCTTGAGGTTTGGACTAATTGCAACTAAACTTGAGGTTTGCCATTTTGTTGCAAAGACCCCCAATGTCAGATTTTACAGTAAATTTACATATCTACCCTCATTATTATATTATTAAAAAATTAAAATACCTAAAAATAACAAATGACCTTTTTACCCAATAACATTTATCCTCTTCTTCTCTCTCGTCTCCACCAATTACTCTACCCAGGCCATTTCTACCATCCACCATCACCACCCACAGTGCCACCATCACCACCAAAATGGGTTTGTATAGCAAGTGACATACGGGTTATATGCGTGTAAATATATATATACCACCACCACCAAGCACCATCACCTCACCACCCCTACCAAGCACCATCTCCTCTTTTTCTTCTTCAAAACTGAAACCCATCTCCAATATTCAATCTCAAGCCTATCTCCTCAGCCGGCGGTTCCGTATTGTACAACAATGCTTTGAATGTAAGCATTTAGGTTAGACCGAATTGAAGGCAAGCTAATCAGCCAAGGGCAAGGTTTAGACACTCTATTGATTCCAGCGAAACAAAGAAGAAACTAGAGCTCAACCCAAACCGTGACGAAGAAGATCATGCTGAAACTTCATTGATTCAGGCCAACTCGAGTGACGAAAAAGGAATCTGAATGAATCAGTGATGGTGGTGGTGGTGGTGTTGGGTTTGATTAGGGCTCTGCAATCGGTGTCGCGATTGTGGTAGTATTGGGTTCCGATTACAATCGGTGATGGCAGTGGTGGATCGATGAGGGCTCTGCAACTGTGCCACCACAAATTCCTCAAGCGGGTGGTGCAACAGTGGTGACGGACTGGCGAGGATGAGGATGGGCTCGGCTGCGGTGGCTCAGATATATGTTTCGACCGTAATGGACGGTGGGCGGTGGTGACAAATTCACGGCGAGCAAAGATCTGGTCACGGTGATGGTTGCCGTGACTAGTTCGGAAGTTCAGCGGCTATCACGGATTGCCGTGATTGGTTTGGAAGCTCAGCGGCGGTGTCGGACTGCCGTGACTGGTTCGGATCGGACTGGTCTGATCTTTATATATATATGTATGTATGTATGTATGAATTTGTAACTATATATGTATTATGTGTGTGTGAATTTTGCACACAAAACACATTATTTTATTTGGGTGTTGCAAATGGATTTAGCAGAGCTGCAGAAGTGATGGTGGCGATGAAGAAGTGGAGGTGGGTTCGGAGAGAGAGACAATGGTGACTAAGTGGTTTAAGGGTAGTTTGGTCCACTTATTGCCATTTGTTTCCATTACAAGGGTAATAAAGTCTTTTTACGTTGTTGACGGGTATTTTAGTCACTTTAAACTAATTTTTTGATAAAAAATATTATTTTTTGTACGGAGGGGAGGTCATTGCAAAATGGGGAAAACTTCAGGGGGTCACATTGTAACAAAATGACAAACTTCAGGTTTAGTTGCAATTAATTCAAACCTCAGGAGAGGTCATTGTAGTTTGCCCAAAAAAAAAAAAATTAGACACGCAATAACATATTAAGTGTACAAGAGCACTCAAGTCACTCTCGCCTTGACTGAAATTTAAGTTTTGCCGCATTCCTACATGGTGTGTGATTTAGGTGTAACGTGTCGCTCTCTCGGACTAACTGTCGCGGTCAGCACCAACCACCATCGCAGACCGCCCTCCCTCCCTCGCAAACACATATCCGGTTAGGTCAGTGTTCTCTCTATCCCTCTCTTCTTCTTCCATGAACTCTATCTATGTGGAGGTTTCGTTGAGCATCACTTCTTGTTACAGGTCCAACATTTGTCTTTGACAACTGATTTAACGTCCAATATGATTTTTTTTTTTTTTTTTTACATATCAGATCTTGTTGATTTGTGTTTGATTATAATTTTAGGGTTCAAATCTAAGTCCGTCTTTGTCAAAAATCAATGTAGATGATCTCTCTACATATATATATACTCTTTACTGTTTTCTATTTCTGTTTTGTGGATTTATGCTGGATGATTGCATTCTTGGTGGAATTTAAAAAGCTTTGGCCACTGGTCACCAATTTGTACTGCCATATATGCTCATGATATTGGAAAATTAGGTCAAATACAGTTTAGGAACATAAAAAGAATTGTTATTGGTTGTTTAGTAGATTTATTATCAATAAGCTACCAGCATTTGGCTCAGGATTGCCCATTTTTATTTAGGTTTCGCTGCATTTGAATTTGAAAGTTCTCACTTAGTAGATTTCCATATCAAGGGCTCGATCTCATTCTAATGTCCCTGATTCCGATTAGATGTAGTAGTCAATGAGGGGAACTGGACATCTATTACTATTCATTTTTCTCAGTGAATGAGTTGTTGTCACCTTTGGAGTCAGAAACATCCATCTCCCTAATCCTCCCACTACCGTTAATTTCCAGATTTCTCTTTTATTAGGAGCTTCTTGATCTGCCCTAGTTAGGAGACCTGTATTGAATTAAGTTCATCGAGTCTAGTAAGAAAGACTTGTGCCCCCTGAATACCTGATGTTCGTGGGTTCCTAATTGGTTTGACGCCTACAGGTGTGTGTCTCTACTCTTCTTCTTTGATTTGGCCCTGAACCTAAGTGCCCTATGACATCGTTTCCTAGAAAATCCAGGCAGAAAAATGATGAAGTGTTAATAAAACAATGATATTAAATAATATTATTATGTGCCTTAAAAATACATTTTTTTTACAAATAAATATATGAAATGATGGTGCAGTTCATGAGAGATGCGAATTTTTGTTCAATTATTTTCCTGGCGATAGGTATGCATGTTTGCAATGTAACTTTTAGAATTAGATTTTTTCCCAAACTTCTAGTAACCCTTCCGAAAATTGTCTTACCACACCCTGTATAACTTTATCAAAGAAAAAATCTGTTTTACTCAAACACTACTCAACAAACGTAAGTGAGAAAAAGAGAGAGGCTATGTTCATGGTTATTTCTTGCATGTCAAACCTAATTCTGTTATAATATTGTGTAATAATACACTATTATCTAGTTTTTATGTATAGTATTCACTTATCAAAAAAAAAAAAAAATGTATAGTATTCAAACAGTTGATGTCACAAAAAGCTTCCTTTTCACCTTATTGTGTCATTGAGTTGTATTTTCACTTGAAACACTTGTACTACTTTTGTGTGATGGTCATTTGTCACTGTTGTTTAACTATATTGAAATTATTACCATGAAATGATGAAAATGTTCAATAAACTAAATTTAAGTTGGTTATTGTTCATAGTGAAGCTAATGGCTGAGACTCGAGAGGGAGAAGATTATGAAGAGATGATCGAAACTATGGAAAAAGACAAGGAGAAGCTGAACAAGATGATTCAAAAAATGGTGGATCTGGATACGGAGCCTCAATCAACGGAGACTCGGACCAGAAGGCTAGAGCTGATCGAAGCAATGGAAAAAGAGGAGGAACGTATGAACAAAATGATTCAAGAAGCGATAGATTTGCGAGAGAAGCTTCAATTTTCGGAGACTAATATCAACCGGCTGATGGCGTTTACATTGCGACTCTCGTATAATCTCCCAGCTAGGCTTGGTGATATAATAAGAGAAAATCTTTTTGTCACAATGAGGAATTAGGTGTTTGATGATCTATGCATGTTACATGAAGTACTTTTCACAATTAAAGTGTTTCTAAATTTGTTTAGTAATATTTTTATGAAGCACTTCTATTTATCTCATATTTTAGAGTATTACTACGGATAAAATTGTCAAATAAAAAACAGTTGCCTAAAATGAGAGGAGATAGATGGACATCTCTATTCAAAATAATGTTGTTTTTGAGAACCCCACCCATAAATTGGTTACCAAAAACATAAAACACAATTTTGTAAAATAAAAAGGGGCTCTAAGCATTGACAGGAGATAAAAGTATCAAACTGAAGTATTGAATCAAGTTAAAATGAGAACGGATAGTTGGACAATATAATGAATTGAATCT